GTTCCAACTGAGCCCCGGATCAGTGCCGATCACCTTTTGTACCACTATCGGCTCGCCCTTTGACCAATGTTGCTGGAAATCCATTAGATCCTCGCGAGTCATGTCTTCAGTTTGCTTAAAGTTTGGGGAGTACACCGAATTTAAAGGTAAACTTTTTTCCTCTCTTGTTTATGATGCTGTGTTTGCTTGCTTTATCAATTAAATAGTTGTTTTGTTTCGAGTGAATGGCGAATTGCACCCTACCATCACACTGAATCGGCACAATGCACCATACGACCACATTTTTGACAGATTGCATCGGCAAAAAGTATTAGTATTGCACTTTGTACTCTGAGTCCAGAAAACAGGAAAACAGCCTGTAAACTAAACACTAGGGGCATTTGTCATAAATTCGAACCCGTTTTCCCCTTTTCCATTCCAATTTCATTTTCTAGTTTTCCCTTCCCTTTCTTCCACTTCTTTTTAGCTGTTCTCAAGTATCATTCCTTCTCTTTCTTCTTTATATGGATGTTTAATATATTCTACTTTAGTACCCGAAACCCGAAAAAAAAAGCTTCAATAAAACCTCTAAACCAAGATATTGAAAAAAAAACACTAAATTTGGCCAAGATACGATGCACGATGATATAGGCAGATCCAAATAACAATTGATGAGCCAAAAAAATTGTTGTGTGTTTGAGTATATCATTTGTCTAATGTTTTTTTGTATATATGTTCCAATTGATAACATTATATCTCGTTTAGTTGATAATAATGATAACATTTGTGTGCAGTCATGCACAAAAATGAGACTCGATTTTGTTTCCCCGGAGAGTGTTGAGACGTGCTTGAATTTGTGTCAAGAATACAGAGTTCTTCCTCGTGTTCACGCGAGGAAGAAAGATAGCTTACAGGTTCGAGAATAAACTCTTTTTCTTTTTTTTTTTTTTTTTTATTTTTTCCTTTAAATTTTATTTATTTATTTTTCCGAAATGCTACTCGTCGAACTTCAAATGATAAATTATTTTGGTTTTCTTGTCTTTTAGGTAGGCAAGATGATTGTATATGCAGTACGAGATGCCGTGAGTGACATCAAGGGTTCGAGGGTCTGATTAGTTTTCTTTTTTTGTTTGATAAGTACTATGTAAAAATGTTCGTGTCAAGAAGATGAGGCTGCCTTCATGTTTTACTTGTGTAGTAGTGTAATGCAATGAAAAGAAAAATGTTCGGTTTATCGTCTCTCTCTCTCTCTCTCTCCACACAAAATGGATCAAGAATTGCAAAATGTGACACCAATTGCAAAATTGAATCAGCAAATATAAGTAAAAAATTCAAACAAAAGATCCCACCATAAAGAAATCAATCCCTTCAAATTATACATTCACCCAAAAAAAAAATTAATAAATAAATATCTGATTTTAGCACTATAAAAATAAAATAAAAAAAGACTGACCTAGAAGACACTGCAGAAACTGAACAAGCAATTGTTTATGTATATATATATATATATATATATATATA